GGGATATTTGTAAGATACAGCTGGAATCTTGATGATACTTACGTACGCAATTCGCAGCATGTCCTTCTCCTGACTTTACGTTTAGGAACGACGATGACGGTCTTATAGCCCTTTGCAGTGGCCACGAGTGCAAGTCGAATGTATGCGTTTCCAGCCTTGCCTTCCACAATTACCCCTCAAGGTCTCATGCGGCCTCTCTCTTCCGCGTCCTTAAGAATGGACACGGCTGCTCAATCTTTCACTGATCTCCTGGGAATCAGATTTAAGCATTCCAGTAGAATTACAGCTGGTATCCGGTCACTCACTGACCCCCCCGGGATTTAGAAATTAAACTTTCCTGTAAATTTAACAGGTCGTCTCCAGGGACACCTTATTTTGTATTCTTAGTGGGTGTTCCAACATAATCCACTAAGCCTCTACTCACTGAGGTCAAGACTCCGATAAGTTCATAAATGTTCAGGTGTGTGTTACAACCGTTGTCGTACACCAATCACTTTCCATTTTTTAGGTGTCAACCCATGTACTTTGTAAAAACTATTCTTGATTCTCTAAGTTTCTACTTTCTATTCTCCAAGTACCGAATGCATATGGCGGAAATCTTTAAACATCCTTCCCAAGAATGTCACATGCTACACTATTTCGGTGGCATGTAGCTAGTTATAAAGCTATGACCACATAATGTGATGTATTCTCGAATCTTCGAGTAAAAGTTGCCAAATTTTACATAATTTATACTTCCAGTCTTATAAGTACATACTCCGTTACACTCTACAGTCGTTGAATGCAGATAGCCAAAATCTACTCAGGTTATCCTCATAACGCTAGCACACAATCCATGTAGCAATATTATCTTCTATAAGCATAATTGGCTTTGCATAAACTCCGACTGCATGTATCAAAATGTTAGAGCTGTGAATTGATTGATCGGCCGAAAACATAAATGGCAACAAACCAGTCAACAAACTAGTCTTTAACTTGACTTCGAACAAAAAGCGAGCGAGGAGTAATATGGCGATGGATCTGGAGGTGTGGGTTTTGACCGTCAAACTCGAACCCGTCGAACTCGGCACCAATTAAGCTGCACGTGGAGATTGGTGTCGGGAGGCGAGGCAAGAACGAAGCAAGTGTTTCCGCGGGCCTGCACTCGGAGGGTGATTTCGCATATGTGATATCCCTCGCGCAAAATCTTCGCTCGAAGGTTGAGTCATAAATTCAGATCTTTTTTGTCAGGTCGTAGATGGTTCTTCAATTTATAAATCCATTTGTTATCAATCAAAATTTAATATTTTTGAAATTTTATTATTTATAATATTTTTTTTCATCAATAATCACATCTAAATTTTTTAAATAATAATAATATTTTATTTAAATTTATCTACAAAATTTTGAAATAATTGTATAAATGACAAATTAATTTAATTTTTATTTATTTCTAATTTCTGGTGCAAATATGTTAGAATCATCAACAATAATTTGTTCCTCCATTGATTGCTTTCATACCAAAATTTATTCTTTGTGTTACATGTTAAATTCATGATGATTACTTTTTCTCTCGACAAATTTTGTCTTGTCATTGCTTGAAGCTTAAAAAATCTCACTCTCTTTAAGTGATCAAGATTCATTTACGGAGATATATTTTCTAACAATAATTTTACAAACTACTACATCTTATAGTTTGTAATACTTTACTTAACAAGCATATTGAAATAAAATTACTTCTAGGATGTAGTATCCAAGTTAGTAATGTATTTCTAAGGTATGAAAAATTATCTATGAAACCAAAGGTTTTTGAACGATCTTAAACAATCATCAATTTGCATCTCACTCAAAAGATGTCAAAAGACTAATGCATTGAACAAAATTATTAAAGTATCATATGTATTGTCGTATTAAGAGTATTGCTCAAAATTTACTTGGTAAATCAAACTGGCTTAACATATTACACAACTTTTTCAGTTTTTTTTTTGGTTTAGATTTTTAAAAATAAAATTTTTATTGGAGTATAAATCATGATGAAATAAGAAAATATTTTACTTTATTTTGCAATAAATTCTAAATTTGCTAAAAATATGTTTCATTTGTTATTATTTATGCATGACTCTTCAAATATGGTTTTGATGGTGCTTGTACCCATGCTTCATGGAGTACTTTTGAACCTCAAATTTTCAAACAGTGTGCATTTGTTGGAGGCTTTGCTAGTGTATATACTATGCGTGTGTAGGGTGATCTTTTCGCGGTTAGCTGGGTGAAAAATGAGATCTATCACTTGAAGTCATCATGCATTGTAAGCAATTCAAGGAGATTCAAGTAGTTTAAAATTGTGGTCATATCTATCATAAATAAATATCGATTGACGCAATAATCGATTGATTTATGATAGATTTAGCAATTGCCAAGTTAGCCGAGCTATGCATATGTCTAATCTGAGTTTCAATTTAGGCTTTATAACTTTTAGAAAATTTTTGAAAAATCTTATATATTTATATTTTTTAAATCCATATAAATCTTGAGATTTTATTAATAAATAATACATAATACGTTTTCAAATTTTCAAAAATATAACTTAAACGTTATTATGTACATACTTAAATAAATGTTTGTTTGCATTAGAATGTTTGTTTCTAACAAAAAAATGTATCCTATAACGCTTGTCTATAATAATATTTTCAAAAAACTCTAAATGAATTTTAACTAAGAAGTTTATATTGCAAAGTAATGTCAAATATCTAATCTCCATGTTACTTAACATAGAAGTGACATACATGATTAGTTTACATCATTCAATTTGAGATTTAGTAAAATATTCTTCATAGATGTTAATGTATCTTAGTATAAACATATTGTTATGCTTATTGTACACTTAACATAATCATGGTCTATTTCATTTTTTAAGAACTTCATTTAAACGTTTTTGAATCTAACATATCAAAAGATATAAAAATTTTCTCATAGAATGTACAAATTTGATTTGAATCAATATAAGAATAATTACATCAAACATTTCAATCTTAAGAAATATAATCATATTAAATAAAAAAAGATTAATCTTATCTTATAGTAACTGATCATATGAAATTGAAAAGTAGATTTTATTATTTTAAATACCAAGTGTGATACAAATAAACATTATCCATATTCAATACAGCACAAATATCTTTTGGTGAGTTGAATAAGACACATTTTTTACATCTTTGTTTGTAATTGAAAAAATCGTACTTCTCATAATCAAATATTTGAACCAGATTAACTAAAATAATATCACCAACTTTCATCTTCATGCTTTTTGAACATCAAGTTGTTCATTTATTTTAAGATTGAGACTAGCATTTTTTTGGTTGACTTCAAACTATACTTAATCACACATGATATGATCTAATTAAAATAATGCTGATAAATAATCCCTTTAGCATTATGTAAACTCCAACTACAAGATCTTATCTTAAAAATCCGATTCTTGGCACTCACGGACATCATCAAAGTAAAAGTGTTGCTTCGCTTGTGAATATGTCATTCACGTCTTCAATATGCCATCTTGGAAAACTCTAGTAGTCTCAAGAAAAATGCTACTACTTTGTCTCGAAAGAGTACAAAGTTTAACCAATGGTGTCACTTAGTATGAATGACATCCTTCAATTAGTAACATGAAATTCAAGAACCATTAGATTGTAATTAATAAATCTGCCAATAATAATTGTTGGTCACTATTGACAATAATGACATGATACTATCCAATAATGACAATTCCAAGTGTAATTATGGACTTAAAATTATTTTCATGATCACAATTGTGGAAAGGAAAATGTGACATAAGTTTAGCTAAAAGTCTATCTCAACATTGCACTCTTACTGATTTTCAATAAAATATTTTACTACATATAATATTATTGAGTTTTTCAACAAAATTTTTGTGCATGTATTCAAATACAATAATCGTGTCAATATTACTCATCAAAATATTATAGCATAGAAAATGAAGGTATCTTGCAACCAAACAACACATTTATAGAATGTGGAATGTACTTGCTTGTTGTGATGAGTAACTCCTCCCCTAGTTAGTGAGTTCCAACCCTAGCACCAAGGTATTTCACTAGTGGGGAGTTAAACTTTGTAGTTCTATTTGTAATGTCTTCATCAGAAGTTGTCTCTACCGTTGCGTTTGCAGACTTGTGTAAATTGCACCACCATCAATGACGGCCGCTTGTACGTAGTACTCTAGTGCAAGATCCAAGCTACCTTGCCGAACATAAGTCAGGCTGTACTGCCTAATAATGTTAGCAATATCAAATACTTAGTCCATCGATCCCACCTTTTGATCATTTCCGTTTCAATCGGCCCAGATACCAAAATCGGCTATTACCCTTTGCTGTTTCCCTCCTTCATTATGTAGGCTATCGCAATATGAAACTGCAAGCTTAGAAGGATTTTAGAAGGGGTCACTAGTGGATTATTACCATTCTTGTTGTGATGTAACGTCTCAAATTTAATTGGATACCTTTGGAGATCCTCAAAAGTACAAGGGCTGAGTACTTTTTGCACAACACCTGCAATTGAAGCATCCCTTGCTATTACGAACAATCTCTAGTTTGAACCACAAGAAGTTCTCAATGGTAGTAGATAGGTTCGGTATATATCGTAAAAAACGATCGCCCTATTGTCTACTTCCAGGGAGTAAGAACTTGCAGTACTTGCAGAAGCATCTTCTTATTATCATAACTATGCAGATTTATTCATTTATTTCTTCATTAATTGTACAGATTACAATTTATTCCAAGTAATTCTTATAATCCGAAATACTATATAAGATTGATAAACTATTTTATCTTGACTTTACAATATTTGTACCTTTGGTTCTAATTAATTTGTATGTTTAATATTTTGGAAAAAAAATAATTTATGATCAGAAAAGAGTTTATAACAAATTTCACATGTATGTAAGATATATTATCTTGACTTGTGATGAAATTTTCATACTTAGCAGCAAATTTATAGTACATATTTATAAATGATTAGGAGTTTATATATAGATGTTGATTCTACAACTTGTACTAAATTCCTTCTACAGGTAAAAATGTAATCGTAGGAACCCAAAACTGGAACTAATAAACCATTATCTGGTGCAAAAAGCCAATTTTTGAAGTAAACTTGCTACCGAATCTTGAAGCATGGGCAGGCCAGTTCAACTGCAGGTTGGATTATAAATGATACGGAAGATGGATCGATGGCAAGCTGTAACTACACGTGAACTATCTCCTCTCTCGATTGCATTTTCTCGATACACTCCAAGACGAAGAAGTTGGACTTTCAGTCCCCTCAATGTGCTTTCATACGCGAGAAGAGGATATCCTAATCAAAGCGAGCTAAACAGGCGTAGCTTTCATATATGTCAGCTCGTTGTCCTGGAGCCTTTTTGGTAGTCACACAAGAGATTGCACCCTATACCCATGGAGATCTAAAGTTGAAGGAAGGCCTTCATCTCGTCGAAGAAGCTATCCACAATGATACTCCAAGCTCTCTCCGTATAATGTTGGGCGTCAAAAAACAGGTACTCGTTGGCATCTGAACAAGAATGAATTGTAATGTTGCACAGGGGACCGAACTCGGTGAGCCCTGTTCCGCAACAACCTATGCTGCTCTCCTGATGTTCCAAACCTGCCCAAACGAACAGACACATGAATCATTGGATCCGGTCTTTCCCTCAGGCGATCTTTGTAGGATTGTGATTCGATGCCTCATTAATTGATTATTATTTTTTGAAACTTATAAATGAAGTCTATGGTGGGATTAGTTGTGGTTTGACTAACCTTTGGATGCTGACCTACGCATCTAGCCGAGATCAAATTAAATTGAGGAGATGGAAAAATATATTCTTCTCATTGCACTCTATAAGTAAGACAGTCCCTTAACAAGTAACACAAGAACCTCTTTCCATGAGTCAAGGCCGCCGAATCAGAGATTTTTGCTGTCCTGGATAGACAGACAACGAAGCTGCGTCCTCCTCGCAGACTCAATAAGCCTGTGTTTTAGGTGGTACACAATGGAAAGATCGTGGCCCTCATACTTGAATCTCAACACTAGTTCTGGTTACTCCACGGCTCTCGGCGTTGTCATGCCAAATCAGGTCCTACTTGGAAAGTCCTCAGTGACATATTTTGTGTTCTACTGACGCACTACAACCGTCACACGGGGAAGTGAGAACCCAGAAAACTACCCTCGGTTTCGGCGAACAAGGAATTGTGTTGGTGACAAACGTGGCCTCGGAGCCTCTGAGTCAAACTGGAGTGTCGAATTGCAGTCAGCTGTGTGAAGGTGCCAGTCAGGGAAGTGCACAGAAATACGTCACGTACCATATTTACTCGGATGCAAGAACAAGTCGACGGTGATGTTGAAAACATCGGCGATGTAAAATTTGCTTCCTTCGAGACTCTGACCCAATGTTTGGATGGCAGCCTTGACTTCTGCGCTGTACGTGGAGACCAAGGTCTGGACGGACGGAACGCACTGAGATCTGTTGAGGGGTTGAAACTGTGTAATTTGAAGGGGTGAGCAGCCTCGAGCGGTCACACTGGTGAAGGCCATTTTCCGAGCTCCAGAGTTGTAAAGGTCCTGAAATCACAAACCACCATCACCACCGTTCCTTACCCAAAGAAAAATGAAGAAAGCCTTGAGCATAATAGCAACATATCGTGCTCCATCATTACATCGTTAATACATCGATACGGTCACTTCCGGTCGCTTACCTTAATGTTTGCGATAGCTACGTCGATCATAAGCTGAAAGTACTGCTCCTCGGTGTAGTTCTTTCGGAGTTCCGCGTTCGCAAGGTAATAGTAGAGGTCGTTGTCACCGATGTTGATGAGGTACAGAGCGTTTTCGATGATGTGTGAGGCCTTTTGCGAGCCTACACGACTGACCAGACCTTGCTGCCACTCCTTCACCCATTGCACTTGCTGTGTCCCGGGAATCAGTTGACCCTGCTCCAACCCGAGATACAATTGCCGATGGATGATGAAATTACATTTTTGAAATGACTGGTTGCTTCTAGAATCTCAGCTCCCCGATCATCCGAGCAATTGTGCATGTCCGAGTTTCGGAACTCGGACATGCACAATTCCAGCCTGAGTGCAGTGAACTCATCGTCATGAATGATTACTATATCGGACAAGAATGCATTCATGAACTGGAACGCAGTCACAAACATACTAAGAAAGTCTCAGGATCACAATTTCCAAAACCATCCACGGATGGAATAGCTTTAGAAAAAAGCTCCCGGCAAACTCGCTAGACATGAGACCGCTCACCAGGTTGCTATCGGTGCCGTTGAGCCAACCCGCTCCTGCAGAGGCAGTGTTGATGCCGAATAAAGCAGCTGGTCCCTTAGCTTCAGGACTGTTGAATGCGACGGGAAAAGGCAGCCCGAGGTTTTGAGCTAAGAATTGCAAAGATGCCCACAAGTCAGTTGAGATTCGACTCACAGCAAAAGGAATCGAATCGAAATGAGTAATGCATCCCACTGTAAGCTCCGTCTAGTCCACCACTCACAATCAGCCGTGTAGAGACGAAAACTTTATACAGAGAAGGTCGTGTTTCGTATACCGACGAAATCCGGAAGAATCTTCCCGTTGCTGAAACGTCCAGTGGCCCCCTTAATATCACCATAGACAAAATCTCGACCATAGGGCAGGTGGTTAGCCTTCGCATAAGTATCTAAGACGTTGTTGACGCCAACATCGGACTGAGAAGCACCGATAAATACAAGAGCTGGGCGTTTTATGTCATTTCCGGCCGCCACTGTAATTTCCAGTACTCGGATCATAGTCAGTGTAAACGTCAGCAGTTTCAGGCTGCGAAGCTTGAACTGCGCCATGTCTGTAGGCTGAACAATGCCAAGGTAAAACTAATCTATATCTCTGAGTTCAGCATTCAAAAACAAAGATGTTGAATCTCCGTAAATCCACAGCCTCCTTCCGGAAAAACTTATTTCAAACTATCAACCAGCACAAGACCAAGAGTCGGGGCTATGGCAGCTATGCAGTCGATGAATTCAAGCTCTCTACTCGTTCACAATCAACACTGATCGTTCACAATCAACACTGATGGCAGCTAGAGCCAGTATCTTCACTTTTCCGTAGCTTCAGGATAATAACTCAGGTTCTCAGGATCTGCAAAGAAGTAATGATGAGTCGAAGCAGGAAATCTGCTGTATATATGACAGATACCTGGTCTCGATAAATATACACGTTCTGTGGTTGAGCACTTTCAGCTACTTCACTCGGAACTTGTCTTATTTTTCTCGTCAACGAGGTCGTAACGGTGTCTACTCGTCCGGACACGTTTCTATTGTTTCACGTTTCTATTCCGACGATTTTGATTTCTTCCAACTTTCTTCCTCATAAGTTCTAAAAGGAGAAGGCTGGGGTTTATAGGCGTCGAAGTAAGGAGGGGCTCATTCGAACAGGGACGGTTGGACTCGAGTATAGCACGTTTTGGGGTCGGTTTGAGATCTCAAAAGTCCACAGATGTGTAAAAGCTCACCTAGGTTTATTCTCGAAACAGTGTCTATTCGTCCAGACACGTTTTCGATTGTTCATCAGATTCCGACGATTTTGATTATCTTCCTACTTTCTTCCTCATAGGTTCTAGAAGGAGAAGGGTGGGGTTTATGAGGGTCGAAGTAAGGAGGGGCTCATTCGAACAGGGACAGTTGGACTCATTCGTATCTTCAAGCCTACAACTTTCTGCTCGGAAGATCCACCTGCGCTTGAAACACTGTGCAATCAACTCTGTGCTGCCCTGATAGCTAATGCATGCTGCTGATGTTAGCATCCTTCGGGACGGTTGGACCCGAGTATAGCACGGTTTGGGGTCGGTTTGAGACTCAAAAGTCCACAGATGTGTAACAGCTCACCTAGGTTTTGAAAATTGATAAAAAGCCTTACCTTCTTCACGGTGTGGAGAAGAAGAATCTACAAAGTTCTGCTCGACAAATCAGACTGCGCTTGACACACTCTACAAGCAACTCTGTGCTGCCCTGATTGGAAGTGGATGTTGCTGCTACCTTCCTGGGATGATTGGAACCGGGTAAAAACTTCACGAACATCCCTAGCTGTATAAAGTCGGCATGCCCGATACAGTTATACTGTACCGATACTGCTCTTGATCTTCTGCATTTTAAGACTGTCGGTCGCGCTTCGTGGAGTATTTAATGTGTCCCTGGATACGCAAGATCTCGCGAATCCTGAGGATTTACAGAATACCAGTAACTCAGGATCTAAGGGCCAAGTCACACGACCGCAGCGGCAGTAAACCCTCGCCGGTCATTGGCTGGCCAGGTCCTCACTTTACCACACGGAACGGCAATTTAGATCATCCTAGGTGTCAAAGAAATTGGTTGCTGCGGATTTCCGATTTTTGCGGATCAATAGACTCTACGTGTGATTTCGCACCATTGTGCGTTACTCTTCCAGGGACTCCGACACAACTCTTGCTCTCGGGTTTCGCCAATTGGATACGCTTGTGCTCGATTCTTCCAGCAAGCTTCCGCTGAGCGATGGGTTGCTGATATTGGGGTTGCCCTTCAGGAGAGGCTGATAGACCTTTGCAGGGAATTTAACCAAGGACGTGACAGGTTCGTGCTGGATCGAAAGTCGGAAACTTCTGACATCTTTAGTCTAGTTACTAGCAATCTCCTCGACACAAGCTTGCTCTCACGGTCCCATATGCATGGACTCACCACTCCCCGTCACGAGCTTCACCTTCTCTTTTCGTACCCGTCTGCAGAATCCTCTTTCGGATTTGCGCGAGTTGATGGAAGCCTGGTCTGGGTCTTAAGATGTATTTCCTTTTACTCTTAGCACTGGTTTCAATTGTGTTGATTGAAACTGCAGGGTTTCGTGTTTTATGCGTCACGCGCAAAGAAGGAAAAAGAAAACAAACTGTCACCGACCGGGAGACAGACAGAGTACATAAGTATAGACATCGTACCAGGTACCTAAGTCGGCAGACGGCCGCGCGTTCGCCAACCAGTGGATATAGCATTACAGAAATGTACCATGCTCACTCCACAACCTATCTCAGTGTGATTGTGACATCGTTGAGATTGCAATTCAATCTTGGTTTGTCCCTTTCATGTGAGAGTGGTGTGTTGTATCCAATCCATTCGTTGCTCCCGTCGTGTGTGGAGGGCTTCCAAACATCCCGTTGGTACATCCAATTTTTCTAGTTTTTTCGTCAGCCACCGTTCTAACCTTGTGTGCACTGCACTATCTAGCGCATGCTGCAACAATATTGCATATGTGTGGGTGGAGTAGAATTTGTACTTTCTTTTGAAATGGCTTTTGCTTTGTCTATAGTATTCCTAACCCTAGCATGAGATTGACTAGCACTATTTCTTGCTCATAGAGGAAATGATTCGTACTAGCAATAGATGTCTGCAAACCTCTGTAGATAACATCCATTGAGCTATAACATGAAAACTGTGTTGGTTTTGTATGCTAATTTCGAAGAAATGTAACAATGATGTAGCCGTCTTGAAGATATTTTCTCGTGCTGGGATACACCACCTTAGTTGTGCTACTGCCGACCAGACCTTCTGAGCAAAGGGACAGTCAAAGAAGATGTGTTGGGCCGTCTCAGGAGAGGTGCATCCTCTTGAGCAGCATCCGTTTCCATGTCCAATTTTATGCGCTCGATTCTTGCTGGAGGATCCTCCAGCACAAATTTTATCTCTGTTTACATTATGGTTTTTCCAAAGGTGCTGAAAGAACGTGTTTCAATCTTCCTCGGTCTTGAAGGTGCTCCATTTGTGGTTGAAAAGTTCAGTTGTTGACATGTTAGGTGACTTTCCTCTATACCACTCTTTTGCTGCTATTATGAAGCTACATGCTACGGGTTTTTCCCTTAGACGTCATCCCTCACTTGATCTGAGTGTGCACCTACTTGGGCCCTTGGACGTAAAAAATCTGCGTAGAAAAAGTTGAAGAGGATGGGAGTCTTGATAGTGTGTTTCCTGATCGTCTTGGATGTATGCAACTCTGAGTAACTCCTTCTTTTTCCATGCTTTTACTACTTGGGTGATATTGAGTTATCTTAATTCTGCCATCCCCAACTTTGTGTGGGCTGATGCTGACTTATGTCGTCGCAAAATCAAGTTGACTACATGTTTGAGGGTGATGATGTCCGGGATGAAGATGTCTTGTGGATCTCAAAACAAGTCTTTCCTTATTTGCTGCCAGCACCTATATAACGCTGCTCCTACTTCATTTCCCAATTGGTACAAAGGGTGATCCGTTTGTATCAAATCTGATAGATAATAGTGCCTTCGTACTAGGTTCTTGGAACGTTTCCTACGATTGTAGTGGACTTTATACTGTAATGCACAACTCTATAATGATGTGTTTCCATCTAATATAGAGCCGATTCACTTTTCCATGAGGGAAGTGTTGTAATCAGATATGATTTGAATTCCTAGACCTCCTTGTGCCTTGGGTCTTGTGAACATCTTCCATCGGATGAATGATAGTTTTGCTGCTCCTTCCGTGTTGTAGCCCCATACAAATTGCATGTAGAGTTATTCTATTCTTTTACAGGTAGGGGCAGAAAACCGCATGAGAGAAGTGTAAAACGTAGGCTGGGCTTGTAGCGCACATTGTAGCAAGGTAATACATGGGTAAACAAAGAAGTTTTGAATGCCAACCTCAAAGTGTATTACCCAGCTTCTGCGTGCAGAATTTTTGCTTGCTCGATGTTGATACTCCGAGTCTTGTAGGTACTCCTAGATATTTGTTGATCATTCATGCTTTCATCAACCTGCACCCTGTAGTTTGTATCCAATCTGGTGGTCTATCCATACCAAGGAGCAGAATGGAAGATTTAACCAAGTTCAGACGTGCTTCATATTTTGCTAGGACCTGACGTAATTCGGCAAATGAAGTTTGTGAGCCATCTAGAAAAACAGCCATGTCTCCCACATAGTCTCCCACATATAGGAATGATTCACTCTATCATAAGCCTTCTCAAAATCTAGTTTCACAAATATATCTCTACTGTCATAAGTTTTGGCAGCATCCTTTGTCATCCAGAGGATCATCACGTCGTCTAGCATGTTGCGATCCTTGACGAAACCAGTCTGTTGAGTAACCATCAATGTTGGTAGCAGAATCTGAAGTATACTTGCCAATAGTTTGGCAATCATCTTATAATCCGTGTTGAGCATTGTTAGAGGTCTCCAATCTTTGAGCTCTGTTTTGTTCATTGACTTTGGAAAAGTCTAATCATACCTTCAGTTACAGTTTTGGCTAGTACACTGTCTGTCCAGAACTTCTTCAACATTGAGAGGTAGAAGTGTTTCATGAGAGGTCATGTTTTTTGCATTGCTTCTGTTGACACGCCGTCTACTCCAGGCCCTTTGTTCTTTGGTAGCAATAAAAGCACTTCCTCAACTTCTTGGAGTGTTGGTGTGGCGGCTAGCATTGCTCTTCCGGCGTCAAAAATATTTCCTTGTACCCTAATTATCAGTTATTGATGTAAGATCTGGTCTTCATGTGTTTTACCCTCTAGACTATAAACATCAATGTAAAATTGTCCTACCCTGCAAAGTATTAGAGCTTGCTTTCGTGTTTCTAGACCATCGTCTAACTTCAAATGCAGAATTTGAGCTTGTGCAAAATTTTGTCAATGAATGTTAAAGAAGTACTTACTATGTGTGTCTTCAAGTGCTAGGTGCTTCACCCTGGACCACAGACGTATCTCCACGTCCCTTTCGTGTTCCCTGATCCGCTTCTCTGTTATGAGCTAGTTGAGATGTGAGAGTTGGATAATGGTCAGGTTTTCAAGTGCTGTCTAGTGGTGTGTGATTTCCTGTTAGAGTATGTCGATGGTTGATATTCAATTTTTGTGCTCTCGTTGCTTGGCTCGTAAGAATTCCCGAACTTAATGCATCCCTTTGTAGTATGTACGTATGGGATCTTCCTGTCTATGACGTATTTATTCCCAAATTTTTTGTATTCATGCATGGATCATATCCTTGCTGAGAAGTGTAGTACTCTATTTGAATGTTGTTGGACCTTCAAGTGTAATTCTACTGTCGGTGGGTTGAAAAGTGCCAACTTCTAGAACCGTAGAGATCGGTAGGTGACCGGAGAGCGTGTTGCCCGCATGATGTAGTATATGTTGTGCACCAGTTAGCCATCTTCCTCCATGTGACACATAGAATCTATCTATTCTAGACTATCTAGGTGCTCCTCCATAGAAACTCCATTTGGTGTGATTGGATACTCTTGCTTCGGCTGCCATCAGTCAAAGATCCGTCAGGTTATGTTTCACGCGGAACTGCGAGAACGCGGTTTCTTTTGCTCCATTGAGGACATGCTCATCTCTTGAGGAAT